CCTAAGTAAACAAAATAATGCCGGCTATTTTAGTATACGGTTAAATAACTGTGTGATTATTCAGTCATATTATTAAAATATCTAGATATATATAATTATTTTACTAACTATCAATTGAAAGATTGATAGATTATAAATATTTGTAAATCTTCGCTCACGAAAAAATTGTGTGTTATATGGAACACCAGGGGCCGTTGAGAAGTGATGAAAAATTATTTATAAAGTACAAGCGTTAGTACAAGAGGAAGTATTTATTAGTGTTACAAAAACAACAGTACAACAATTTTTTTTTTTTTCACGTGCCCCAAGAAGTTTTTACAGTCTTATCAACTTGAAGTTCAAATTGAATGTGTACAATTTTTAAGATTTTTCATTCTATGTCAAATCCTAAAAAAAAAGAAGCTATAATTACAAGAAACACAGATTTTACAACTATGTTCTTTAAAAGAAAGTGGTTACTAAAGTTGATAATGTTAAATTTTAGATTCAATGAATTTGCGGTCCTTTAAATGAATGAATCCAGAATACTTTCAAATAAAAATATAATGTTATTCGTATATATAGAAAAATTATTAAACTACTTTTTAAATAGCAGTCGTACATACTATAAGAGCAATTTTATAAAAACTCACAAATTATTTATATTTAAAAACGTTACAATTTTTGTTTATGAAAAAACAATTAATCGTTCTAATTTAACAAAAATTTTATCAATATAAATATTTTTTCATAATTTAAAATTGAACACAATTATTTCTCATAATAATCATTGGCTAACTTAAGTAATTTTATCTATATAACGACTGATATAATAAGCGATTTAAGTGACACAATGATCAATTATTTTTTTCAATATCAACTTTGTTTTGAGGCAAAAGTTACAAATGGTTGCGTTTTATTATGCAAAATATTAATATATATGCGCTTGAAGTCCAACAGTTCGAATCAGAGATTTGTTAAAGAATTTAACTTGTGGAATAAAAAATAAAGCAAATAAATATAATTTGCAAATCATTTTCTGAATGTAGTAAAGGGTATAAAAATTCAAAAAAAGGCCCTCCTAGGATAAATAGCGATAGGTCCAAGCAGGATTCCTGCATAGCCTCTGGGGCCAGCACGCCACTGGATGAATATGCAATCCCTGTTGGAAGCTCCAGAGCTGCAGAATATTTTTTTGAATACAATCATTTTGGAGTTGAAACTGTTAATTAAGTGCTTAGTAACCACTTTTCTTTGGTCAGTTTTGTTGTAATAAATCTCTTAGTAGGTTGATACTTTGAACGGAATTTTGTCTTCCTTTCTAATTTCCCTCCCAGTAGTTTTATCTCAGTTGGCTTTTGACTCTTCTTGTAAAAATGTGGCCACCATGTATTAAAAGCGTAGATTATGTTGTTTATTATTTGGTTACAGTAAAGAGCCCTGATTTGCTTGATTTACTTCTCTCTGATTGGGAAGTAACGATGAACTGTTTGTACATATAAATCTTGTTCATTTTTAATTTTAAACAGATAAAAACTGTTCTAGATTGCATTTTTGTTTCATTATCAATATATAAACTCCATTTTCAGTTGAACACTAAGTTTCAACACAAATCAGGGATTCACCAGAAACAAGGTCACCTTTGTAATTGGTGTAATCTTTACCTTTTACTCTTGCTTTTCTAATTACATTATATTTTAGATTTATCATCAGAACTACTTTCACTGTAAATTTTTTAAACCAAATAATCATAAAATATCAAGTTAAAACACCATTGTAAAATAAATCTTTAACCAACTAGGGAGCAGTTAAAGTTTTGTAATTAAAATAATGACTTTATGTATTTGCTTTGAAGCTCATTTTATAATCCACTAAGGAGCGATTAACAGTTGTTAATTTTATATAAAAAGAGTGAATAGTTGTAAATTAGAAAATTTGCAGTCAGATGATTGTATAATAAATTACTGTTTTTGTTAAGCATTATTAAAAATTGTGAATTATTTCTGAGAAACTTATAATAAAATATTCCAGAATATTACATAGCATTACCTCAAAAGCTGTAAATATTCAACTTTTCACTCACAACAAACCTGGCCAACAGAACTTTTATGTTCAAAATTTAAATAAAAAGATTTGTCCCACATAGGGTTTTAATTGTTATTAAAGCTGCAGCTTTTTGATTTTGTTGTTGTTGTTGTAGTATTTACATTTATAGGGCTCTTTAATTGAATATATATATATATATATATATATATATATATATATATATATATATATATATATATATATATATATATATATATATATATATAAATATATATATATATATATATAAATATATATATATATATATATATATATATATATATATATATATATATATATATATTATATATATATATATATATATATAGAGAGAGAGAGAGAGAGAGAGAGTTTATAAAGCAAGATAATGATTAACAGACAACTTGAAAGATTAAGATTACACAATCAAAAATTACATCACCACAATAGGGTAAATTGTTTGTTTTTGAACTGTCTGTGTTTCCAATGTGTTTCAATATGATTAATAATTTTCAACTGAAGACTCAAATTTATCAATTTGAAACCAGGCCATAGCGTAGGGAAGATTTTTTGGTGTTTGAGATAGCTAACTTTCAGACATGGAGCAAACTTCAAACATTTATATGTTTATATTTACGTCAAATAAGGATGGTTTGCAAAAATTTGTGATGATTTGAGCCTAGGAACAAAAAAAACCCAAAACTTTCGCTCCCCTTGCCCTAAACATGAGAGCAACAAGTTAATAAAATATTTTTTTTTTACTATTCTCAACTAGACTTATATTCATCAATAAATTTTAAGTTTCATAAAATAATCTCTTAGCGTTCAAAAAATATGACTATATAAAATTTGTGACCCTCTCAAAGTGAGGGGGATACAAACTTCTTAAGGTCATAATTTTTGAACGATGAGTGATTATTTTATGAAACTTAAAATTTATCGATGAATATAAGTCTAGTTAAGAATAGTTTATATTTTATCAATTTGTTCTCTTACGTTTAAGGCAGGGGGCGCAAAAGTTTTGGGCTTTTTTGTTCACAGGCTCCAATCATTGTGATTTTTTACAAACCATCCTTATTTGACGTAAGTATAAGCATACAAATGTTTGAAGTATGCTCCATGTCTGGAAGTTAGCTATCTTAAACACCAAAAAATCCTCCCTACACTACTAAAACCAGGAATTGACTTAAGCAAGCTTGCACAGTCAAGTAGAATGATTGATGGATTTTGGAAACTATGACTTGGCCCATATTTTTCCAAATTAATTCAATAGTCTGTAGATTGTTCACTGGTTTAAGTATAAGCTAGAATCTGCTAAAACTTTTCTTCCTAGCAAAGATACTTCTTCACTGAACAGTGCAAAAGGGATCATTTCAGCAGTAAGATACCAAAATGTTGATTTAGTGCTTGAATTGCAGACTAAGTGATATACTTGTTTACAGCCAATTTGTCTTTAACAAGGCGCCTTTTTGAGACTAAATATCAGCTTTAAATTATTTTAAACAAATTAATTTGTTTATTTCGATTAAGCCTTATTGCTGGCTAACCTTTTTACATTATATAATTATGCATGCCGAGATATATAATGGTCTACCACGAACAATTAGATCAGTTAAAACTATTTCTTTCTTTTTTGTTAAAATAAAAAGATGAAAATTCATTTTAAAATATAATTTATATAATTATAGGCTTATAATTTATAGGCTTTTCATAGTTTTTTATTTCAATAATTACTGAGATTTTTTAACATTTTGACACTGAGATTTTTAACGACTTAGCTTTTTATTTTGTTTTTTTTAATTTCCTTTATTATTGTAAACATATTTTCTATATTTATTATTATTTTTATCATTATTATTTTTAAAGGTATATATATTATATGTATGTAAAAAAATAAAAACTTGTATATACATTAATGTACAGTGCACCCCTAATGTAATGTATATACATTAGGGGTGCACTGTACATTTGTAGACTTCACTGCAAAGTGCGCTATTGCTATAAATAAAAGATTTTATATTAAATTTTTATGTTAAAGTTATTTTTATATTTTTTGAATTTTGCATTTAAAAACATAAATAAGAGTTCTTACATTAGTACAGTCAATTGGGTAATCTGCAATTTTTATCTTGCTTGCTGTCAAAAATGTTGATTAAAAGTTCAATTTAATCTAAACATACTTAAAACTAAAATTTAATGAAAACTGAAATTCAGAAAGTACTAGCTATTAAGTGGCTGCTGAAAAATGTTTAAGTTTGATATACTAAAGCGAACTAATGTTTAAGTTTGATATACACAGAATAACTAAGTAGGATTAATGTAGAATGATGCTTAATTTCATATTCATGTTTACCCATTAGTTATTATAATAATTTTATAATATTTCATACCGTATTTAATTCCAAAAAAATATTTGCTATAAAACCATTATAAGTTTAACCCATGAGGTTGTTTAATGCACCATAATGACAAAAAAAAATGTAACTAACTTGACTGTAGTAATGGTGTGGTGAGTAGAGCGTCAGAGTGGTGTAGTATATTTCATTTGAGCTGTACATTATGTATGTCAAAATTTACAATGCTAATGTCAAAGATAAAATTACACTTTGCAATGCTAATGTCAAAATTTATTCTTAACAAAATTTATGTTTATTAAGCATACAGTTTTATAAGGGTTTTGATTTTTACATAACATAATAGATAGTTAAGAGACTTTTTTTTACTGGCCAAGAATGGCCAGCTGAACTAATTTAAGTTAGTTGTTTTAAAAACCATTGACATTTATGAAAAGTAAAGGATTATAAGTAGGATGATTATCTACTCATTAATACTCTTATTTAAAAATAAAGAATATTAATGAGTTTAAGAATCGATGTACCATGATGTGTACAATAGAAAAACAATTATATTTTATGTTTTATGTTGTATTTTAAAAATAATTTGTATATAAATTACAGGATGAGATAAGTTTGCTTGATGAATTAACTCACTTTGCTAAGTATGCTTTGGCTTGCTATGGATGGCCAATGTTTTGCTTTCTCCATAACATTCCTATATGTTGTCCACTTGGATGCAGGCTTATGTCACATACGAGGTATAGCTTAAAGGATGTTTATATGTTTTAATCTTAAAAACTTTATAAATATTATTATCATAAATCTGAGTTGAAATAATCTCTGTATAATTTGGATTTTGATTAAAATCAGGTATTTCATATTTATTATGCGACTGGCCAATTTAACATTTATGCCTTATGAGACATAAAATTTACCATTTGCAAAACTAATTTAAGAAATTAAGTCATATATTCTATAAAATATAGTAATGATAAAGATTATAGTAATAAAAATTAAAACAGTTGTTCATAAATTCAAATAAGTAACATATTAGATGGTTAGCATGTAAGTGGTGTTATACTCAAGGTTATAATTAAAATAGTATATAGTTCCTAATATTTAAAGTGTGAAATCTTATTTTGAACCAAAATCCATAAAAATATTTCAAACGAAAAAGCTTTTCTTTTCTTTCTCAAAGTATTTGATATAGTTTAACCAAGTTGTTTTAAACTTTTTTTAATAAATTTAGACTATTTTGAAATTATTTTTAATTGTTTATCTTTTATTTTTTTACAGGGATTAGAATCCTGACCTAAATTTGGAGTTCTAGAACCCCAGGATTCTCGAACTCCAGCAATAAAGGTTCTGGAACCCCTATTACAAAACAGAGTTCATAAAACCTTGAGAATCTAGAACTCTTTAAACTGAGTTTCTGAAACTAGAGTTCTGAAACCTTTTGTGTAAAAAAGGGTTCTAACCCAAAGGGAACCCTTTTGGGTTATGCCTCAAGAGCACCTCTTAATCAGGTTTCCAAACCCCAATTATTAACAGAAGTTCTGAAACCCCATTTTTACTCAAAGTGATTTAAGTAAAGCTTACAATAAAGTACCTTACTCCACTAAATTTTTCAAGTAACTTTTTAATATAAACAAAAATTTGTATTATTTATAAGCATTTATTTTATAATATTTATAAGCATTAATTTTATAATATTTCATATATTTATAAGTATTTAGTTTGTTAAAATGTTATATTTATTTGAAATCATCTGAAGCATTATGAAATATTTTTACAGAGAAAAAACAATTTATTTTGTAATACATACAGAAAAATTGTATTACATTTTTATTCAGAGTGTTTTTTCACTTTACTTTCACTTTTTTTTTTATTTTTATAGGTCTTTGTTATTCATTCTCAATATTATTCATTCTTATTAACATAATTAAGAAAACATACCTTACACCTAACAAGTAACTTGTGCCATCCAAAGTGAAGGAATTAATTTTTGACTCTCCCATCATGATAACACATCCATTTTTAATTCAATAGAATGATCATTTTTGACTCTCCCATCATGATAACACCATTTTTAATTCAATAGAACATTTTTATAATCTGGAGAAAAGGATTCAATTTTTTTTTATTTGATTTTTAATGTTTTGTATTACTGGATTATCTTTAGTTTGTTTATTGATAAATTTAGCTTTTTCTTTTTGCAACCCCTTGGTCAATTTTTGCTCTCTGTAGCTTAAAGTGTTGTTTATTTCTGTATTTTGATCTTCAGCATTTTTGTTTTCTGTTTCGATTTCTAAAACTCACATTATTTTCTAACTCAGTTTCCTCTTTTAACTTTATTAACCTTAAGTCCAATATTTTTAGATGAGATAATGCCATTTCTTTTTGAGTTTTGCCTAATTTACATTGATACCTTGGATAAAGAAATAATCCAGCACAAAATACAGGTTTATATAACATTTCATGGCTTCTCCTATCCATTTCATCATACGATGTTTTAGCTAACATTCTTTTGCTCTTCATTTTTCTAAGTCATACTTGCATATATTTTAAATTTCGTAGGAATTGACTAACATTAATTGTTCTACCTATAACTTTTTGGTTGCTGTTTTAGCAGGTTTTATTGAATCAAGATACAATTGCAATGTTTTCCATTTGTTCAATTAGAATGCAAAAGTATAATTCTCCTTTTTTTATAATTCATTATTTAAGCCTTAATGTATAGATAAATTCTTTAATTTTATTTTTCCATGTAACATCCAATCTAAAAATTTTTTTGTTTGGAACATTAAAGTACAATTTTAGGTGGAAAAGAAATGCCAAATAATAAAAAAATTTCTGCTTTTTTATTATTTAGATTATTTTTTTTTTAATTGTATTTTGTGTATTATTATTGCCAGGTATTGGTATAGTTACAATTATTATTGATAGGTGTTGCTATAGTTGTCAAAAAGAAGAGAAATATCCCATTATTATTGGGGATAATTGTTGCTTATGTAATTTAGCCGCAGAAGAGGTTACTTTGGATAAAGGCAATGATAGTTTCGTATATGTTAACTACTCCAACAAGGTAAATTTAAGCTATTAAGTTTAAGTAATTTAATTTAAGGCAATTTAAGTTTTAGGAATTTAATGTTTTTAACAATAAAAATAGTGATTAACTTAATATGATTACTTTTGTTTGGAACATTTAAGTACAACTTTTAGTGGAAAAGAAATACCAAATACTAAAAAAACATGTTGAAGTATAAAAAATAAAATTTTGTGTTTTTCATATTAAAATATGAAAAATATTTATTACAAAAATTTCATTAATAGATCAACATCAGGAAGAAAGTTTGAAACTTTATCAATTAATTTTTCATATTAACTTATATTAGTTGGAATTTTAATGTTTTAAATGATTTTAACTTTATGTATTTGGAGTTTTAAAGTTAATTTAATGATAGGTTTTTCAAACTCCGTTTAATATTATTTTGGATCATTATAAAAAGTCTATTGTGATTTCATGCAGAGGAACTCTTTCTTTTAAGGTATTATTATTTACTGTAAATTATTGTTGTTTTCCTTTTAATGATGTTATTTGAATAAGCAATTAGTATTTACAAAGAACAAAGTATGATCAAACTCTTAGATACCTAATGTTTATTGTAGAATCTTTGCTACATTTCTGTTTCATAGATTTAATAGACTTAAACGAATTATGTTTTCAAATGGTTCCTTTTTATTAATTTTTTTCAGTGACATTTTAAAAATGAAATTTTTTAAACACAATGTGGATAAGTATTGAGAATGTTTGTAGAAATTAATTGAGGAGCCCATTTGCAAAACGCACAAAGTCCAACTGATTCTGAAAAAATGAAGAAAAATTTAACTACTCATAGTTGAGTATCAATGGAATATTTTCTTTGTTTATTTTAAGACAAAAAAAACTTTTAGCTGGTCTAATATTTAAGTAGATGATTTGAATTATAATTTGGAACTAAAACTAACTCAAAAATTTTATTGTTGTGACTTTTGCGTTTTTCAGATGGGCTCCTCAGTTACAGTTATTAAAACTGTATTTACCTAAGTGTTAATTTTGTTTAAATTTAGACAAAGTTATAAAAGCAAGATATTTAATTATAATTTAAATATCACTTTATTTAAACATTTAATTATCAATAAAGGCGTTTAATTCTGCTTTCCTTCTAAGAAAGTGAAAAGTGTTCAAATAATCCATAATTTTATAGTAAAAAATAAATTGTTTTTTTTTTATACAATTTATACAATTTATTTGACATGAAAAAAAAAATTAAATTTTAATAAGTTTCCAACTTTCCAGAAGATGAAAATAGATTGAAATCGATCTTTTTTTAATTTCTGGAGAGAGGAAAGTATTCATCCCAAACTCCCAACACATGTTGTATTCATATTAAAGATGTTGATAAAATGGTTTGAACCAAATTTTTTTTTGATTAAAAATAAATAATGAATGCTTACCAAGAAAAACTAATCTTGTTGTTTTAGCCGAAACCTGCCTTCTCCATTTTACTCGAAAACTCAGAGTTTTTAAGTTATACGTCGCAATCTACAAACTTTGGCGATTCCTTTGAAGCGCATTTAATTCATAAAAGTTTTAATATTTGACATCATGGTAGACTTTTGACAAATGAAACTCTGGAATAGTTTTTATTTATTTTTATTCATAAATTTTTGCATTATTTTAGTTATTTATTTTCGACTTTTAACATTTAAAAAGATATAAAAAAACATTAAATATTTAATGCTGGTTCATTGCTATAAATTGTTATTGCGCTATATTTAATATTAATATGAATATTTATTATCTCAATCGAGATTCTGATAAAAAAGTTGTTTTATATTAATTACGCGTATAAAATTAGTAACAGCATTTTTATTTGGTTAGACAATATTTCGTCTGAATTTGCTTTACATGAAGTTTGGGAAGTTAAACGAAAAATCTTAGTTTGAATAATCATGTCAAAATATATTTAAAACAAATGATTTTAATGACGGGGCTTCTAAAGTCTTTTTATAACAAATGTAGGTAAAAAATAAATAACTAAATAAAAATTATCTATTAGATTGTGTTTGAGGAAACCTTAAAATCTCCTTTGGTCATACATGTTATAACAACAACAACAATTGGCTAACATCTTTAATTATTAAGATTTGTGAAAAATGATGACACTCTTTTTAGGCTTAAACAGTTCTAAGATGGTACTCAGGTGTCTATCGTGGGTAAAGCTTTAAACGAACCATCGTTTACGATTGCTGATGAAATTATTTTTTTTTATTTTTTAAAAAATATATTATATTCTTTATGCTCTTTGTGTTTTTAAAAAGTATATATTTTATTTAGAAGTTGGAGGGTTCTATAATTTTAAAATTAAAAAAAGGACAAATGGAAGGATTGAGTTATTCAGATATGAGTTATAGGCGCACAATACTGTAATAATGCGCACTAAAAAAGAGGGAAAAAGTACACAAACTAATAATAAGTGTACTGGTACTGATTGTGTATATGAAAATGTCACAATAGAATGGCAACAGCTGTCACACGCACGTCACATGCACAAAAAGATGAGCTTTTCAAAAAAAATGGAATGTTAAAAAATTTAAATTTATTAACACCAGACTATAAGTCTCAGCAAAGACAAGCAACTTCTTGACTTTCTGATCAATATAAAGAATATATTAAGAATATATTATTGATTTTCTAAAAAAAAATATTCCAATATCTTTCATTATCACTAGATATGTGGAAAAACAAGCAGCAAATTCATTTTTTGGGGCTTGCGTTACATTTCTTTGACAATGACTTTAAGTATGTAACTTTAGTAATTGTTTTTGGAAAGTTTGTTGTTGGAGATTTATCCGTTAATCTGAAAAGTTTCATTAAAAATGAACTGAATGAATTAATGATATTTAACAAACAAGTTGCAGTGACTGCAGATAATGCATCCGACATTGTGAAAGCTGTCTCAATCAACTTTGGAGTAAGATTCTCTTGATTCTGTCATAATTTATCTGTATAAACCAACTTTATCATTGATTTTCATATTTGCTGGAATTCTATATATACAATACTCAATTGACTAGTTAAGTTAAAAGATACCGCCATTCTCATAACAGAAAATCCAAAAAAATTACTGGAATAACTAAAAAACAAATAAAAAAATTGAAAAAGTTAGAACTTGTGGAAGAAGATTGGGCACTTGTTGATAACTTAATCACAGTTCTTGAACCATTTTTTAAAGTTATAAAAATGTTATTGGGAATAAATTACGAGACTTGATTATCTTTTGTTTCCTAAAGAATTTTGTTTCATAGTCTTGAAGCTAAATTTGGCGATCTCAAAGAAAAAGCAATAAAGGAATTTCTTTTTGCAACTTGAAACATTACTTATTTGGCAAGACTAACAAAATCAAATCATATTAAAAGTTTATTTCTGTGCTTAATTTAAAACTAAAATCTGTTTTTAGTGAAGCAAACTTTTAAAAGATTTACATTATTTTTAAAGAGTGCAAAATGAAACCCTATTTATAGTCAACTATTTATAATCAACTATTTATAACTATTTATAATCAACTATTTATAACTATTTATAATCAACTATTTTTAACTATTTATAATCAACTATTTTTAACTATTTATAATCAACTATTTTTAACTATTTATAATCAACTATTTTTAACTATTTATAATCAACTATTTTTAACTATTTATAATCAACTATTTTTAACTATTTATAATCAACTATTTTTAACTATTTATAATCAACTATTTTAAACTATTTATAATTAACTATTTTTAACTATTTATAATCAACTATTTTTAACTATTTATAAAAAGGAAATTTTTTTAAATGAATAAAATTAAAAAAAGGGTTGTTTTTGTTTTTTGACTTTCAAATGGGAAGTGGTTTGGAAAGTGTAGAGAAATAAGGTCGAATTTAATCTTAGTGATTTTAATGTTATGTAAAAACCTAAAGAAAGAGAATAATTTTTTAATACTTTCCACTTTCCAGAAATTCGAAATAGACTGAATTCAATCAATTTCCACTTCCTGGAAAGTTTGAAAGTTTCATTTTTTTTTTGCCTTCACACAAAGTATAATTAAAAGAACGTTTTCCGATAAAAGTACGTTTATTTTATGAATACTTTCCAAGTCAAAGAAAGCTACTTTCTAAAAACTGGTTAGAAAGTGAAATCACCTCTAATTATCAATACAGTTATCTTTTTATGAATAATTTTTATAACACTAACACTTAGGATATTTTGACTGATCTGGCAATAAATGAAGAGTGTATACCAGGTTGTGATCCAAAATGGACTGGACATAAGGTATAGTTTGTTTTTGTTTTTTCTTTCATTTTATTGATTTTAGATCATTTGATTAAAATAAAAACTTCTTTTTATTTATCAATAATTTTATATATAAATGTATTTACTATTATTTTATTATAAAGATAATGGTTTAATCTCTTTAAAACTATTATCCCATTCTTCTTCATCATCAGAATGCCCCTATCATCGTCTCTCATACAACTACCTTGAGGGTCACTGGGACTATTTCCGTGACTTTCTTTGTGATCGCCCTTGGGTAGAAATCTTTTGTCTTTCTATTGACAAACTTGCTTCTATTAATTAGGCACCAGAGACTTCTGAAGAATTTTTATCAGTATTGATAATAAGGGTAAATCTGTTATTCATCCTTGCATGGTTTAGATTTTGTTACCTCACCTGAAAATAAAGCTGAATTGTTTGCTTAGATCTTTTCATCAATCTCATCTCTTGATTTCACTAATCACATCCTACTTGATTTAGCCAACAAACAAAATGATCGATTGCTTGACATTCAAATCACTCCAGCTTCTGTATCTAAAGTGATTTCCTGCTTAGACTCTTCTACAGCTTGTGGTTTAGACTACATACCTGTTATAGTCTTGCAGAAGTGTTCTCCGGAGCTGTCATCTATACTTTCAAAGCTATTTAACAAGTGCTTTTCAGAGTTTTGTTTTCCAGCCTGCTGGAACAGGGCATCTGTTTTCTCTAATTATAAAAATTCTAACCTTATCTAACCTTGTCATCCCATATATCTTCTTTCTATCATAAGCAAGTTTTTTAAGTCTTTAATTAACAAACACTTAATCTTGAATCTAATAACTTACTTTTTGATTATCAATACGGATTTCAGTCTTCTCGTTCTACTGCTGATTTGTTATTGATAATAACCAATAGGTTTTATTGTGCATTAGATGGATGTGGAAAGATTAAGGCTATTGCTCCCAACATTTCTAAAACCTTTGATAAAGTTTAGCATACTGGTCTTCTCCATAAATTCTCTTCTTATGGTGTATCAGGTAACATCTATTGAATCCTTCCTTACCAATCGTAGTATAAAAGTTGTCATCAATGGACAGTACTCTACTTTCTTTCCTGTAAATTTAGGGTTTCCTTGAGGTTCTATCCTTGCCCCTATACTTTTTGAACGGTAATGTACTTGATGAGTCATCTAGGATTAATTCTTACTTCCGATTTTTCTTCGTAATCTTTCAAGTTATTTGTTAATCATTATCTTGCTTTATAAACTTCATCTTTTCTTCATCTTTTATAATTCTTTCAATATTTTTTGTACAGCTATAACTTACTTTAATAGTGTTTCTGTTAAAAATTTTGTGCAATTTATTAGAGGTAGGGAAATGTTTGTCTATTAATTTTAAAAAAGCATTTCCATTATTTGCTAAAACTTTTTTGCTGTACAGAGAGTTGAACAAAATTTTACTTCTATTTCTATTTGGCTTTTTTGCAATTTTTGTTTCAAATTTCGCTCAAATTTTTAATCCGCTTTTTTTTAGAGCATCTTCATACGCACATTTGGAAGAGTTAAAAATATTTTTATTAGAAAAGTTTTGATTCGGGAAAAAATCTCAATTAACAATCTATTGTTTTATTTTATTTAATAAAACTAGTTTGCATTGCATCCATCTACATTTTATATGTGCAAAAAACCTTTACTCATCTAATTTTTTCGACATAAATGAGCTTTGCGATTCTCCCTTTACTTGCATTCTCCCTTTACTTCCTTTTTAACTTATTCTATTGTTGTTTTCTTTTTAACTTAAATTGTGGTTGCCTTTTTGTCTTGTTGAGTGTAAATTTGTGCTTTAAAATAACTCATTTCACTTAAATTAGGTTAGTTAATTTTTTTTTTCAGGGTTTTATTTCTGCTGCTGTTCAAATCAAAGCCATAATTGAAGAGAAACGTTTAATTGAAAAAGCACAAGTAATATTAATAAAACTTATTTATACATGTGTTATTGTTTATATTTGTCTATTTTCAATTGTAAAATTTGAAACAAAAAATTTTTGTTTTTTAATTTATAATTTTTTATGACTGTTATAACATACAACAGCAACAAGTTAAATAAAAATAAATGTTGATTTTTTTAAGGAAATGGCTTCTGAGGAATATAAAATTGTCATTGTTGGGCATTCTCTTGGGGCTGGTACAGCTACATTGCTTGCATTTCTTTTTAAGTCAAAGTATCCTTCACTTGTTTGTTATGCTTACGGTCCCTCTGGATCAGCAGTAAGGTGAGGCATAACCTTAAATTTGAAAAAATGAAAAATAGTTCACTATTATAGCAAAAAAATATCTTACAATTAAACATTTCAAAGTTTATTAAAATTGTTATTAAATGATATAAAATATCATCACATAAGTATACAAGTTTAAATTATTGATTAAACTTGTATACTATTGTATACAATAAAAATTTGCCAATGCTGAAACCATTGATATTTTATTGATAGATAATAAATGCTAAAACCACTGATATCTTATTAAGAAATGCTAAAACCATAAATATTTTATTGATAAATGCTAAAACCACTGATATTTTATTGATAAAGGCTAAAACCACTGATATTTTATTGATAGATAATAAATGCTAAAACCACTGATATTTTATTGATAAATGCTAAAACCACTGATATTTTGTTATCAGTGGTTGTTAACAGATAATAAATGGTAAGGTTTGACTGTGTTTAATAACAGAGTGGTGATGAATATTCATCATAGATGTTCAATGTTATTAATAAATGTTGATGAAGATAAATTTTCATCACAGGTAATGCCTGATAATGATTCTTGATTCTAGATAACGATGACTCTTGAGGATAGGTAGTGTTGGTTTATGAGGATTTATAATAATGATTTTTGAAAATAGATATTGATGGTTATTTAGGTTAGGTAATGATGATTTTGGCAAATATTAAAAATCAAGCTTACAATTGCTCTTGTTGCCCTTTACATCCTTCCACCCCTCACAGGCCTCTCATTTGCTCACCAGTTATTGTGTGAGAGAGAAGGTGTTGCTGCCACGATTGATAAACTTATATATTTTGTTGTAAAGTTGTTGTAAAAAATTTTTTATTGCGTTAGTATTTAACAATGGCGTTAAACACTAACACCATTGTTTAATTATTTAATTACTTAGATTGGATAGTGATCAAAGTAATGTGGTTAAATAGTAGGGTGTCCCATAAAAAAAAGAAATTTTAATGCAACCATGTGCACAATGGCAATCCTAATTATTGGGTCTCAATAGCCCACCATAAAAATATCAGGTCTCTAAGATATTGTTTTGCTGAAGGTGTTTTAGAAAAAAAAATTATTTAAATCAATAATTTTGCAGGATTTTTTTTTTAATTTTATGATTGAAACTCTTGATTTGTAAAATTGTTGCTTATATTCAGTTTTTTTGTAAAATAGTTAAATTAAATTGAAGTACATCATCCAATGCACACATTCTGACGATATTATCTTAACTGTATTTTTTTTAATTTTCATGATTTTTACACTTTTTATTACAGTTGCACCATCTTTAAATGTTTAAAAAAATGATATATTATGGATTTTTTATTACAGTTGCATCATCTTCAAATGTTTAAAAAAATGATATATTATGGATTTTTTATTACAATCTTCGAATGTTTAAAAAAATGATATGGATTATAAATCCTGCATAAAAAACACAAAAGATACTTATTTTTTGTTGGAAAAAATGTTTTTCTAAAACAAAATATTGTGAAAAAATGTTTTTTTATTTAAACTTTCTTCAAGTCTTGTTTGGTGCCATGTTTAGGTATCTTCCGCTGGTTGCCTAAAATCACCATCATCATGTCTTGGAGTTGGTCAACTGAATGTATCCTGCCTATGAAATCCTGCACTAGTTTGCTTTCAGCACTGTTATTAATTTTTTGTTGACACACATTAGTCTTGAAAGTACTCTTTTTAATTACCTTCAATCTACTATAGCATATTTATATGCGCAATTGCTCACTTTTTTTGCTAGTCTAAATTAAGTGAGCAACATGAGAAAACGATGAGGAAAAACAAAGAATAATGAATGAAAAGGTTGCTGACCCATACCAAACCCTCAGTCGATGTAGCAGCACTCCACTGCGAGTCAGGCTATTTGTCAGTCGATGTATGTACTAAAGCTCCCGGCAGCAGGCTATTTCAGTATGATGTCATCATGCTCACCTAACTCAGCAGTATAAGATATATATATATATATATATATATATATATATATATATATATGTAATTAATTTAACTTAAATTTCTCAAACTTTAGTTTTAAATGGTTCTTTAATCACTTTTTAATTATTTTTTAAAATTAATTTTATTTGCATGTTGCCATCAGTTACGAAGCTTCTTTATATGCAAAGAGGTTTATATATTCAGTTGTTCTTGGGAAAGATATAATATCTCGGTGAGTTGTTCCTAATTTATTTTAATCTTAGTTAATAATTCATTTTGATCTTGGATTTTAATTAGTTTTGTGAATTTAATTTGTTAAAAATTTAAGATGTCTTAAAATTTTTTAGTAAAATTTTAATTATATATTAAGTTACCTAATTCAACATGTAATAATGATGTAATGATGGTATATCTTTTTTTTCAATTTTTATATGTTTTAATTTTTATATGTTTTTTTTCAATTTTTTATTTTTAGTTATACTTTTTTAGAAGAATTTATTTTATATGTTAAAATATTAAGAGATATTTAAAGTTTAACTTTAAAACTTTCATAAATTATATTGTATAATTTTTTTTTAGAGAATTACTCAAATAATATCTAATAATATATCTTAATTAAGTTAATAAAGACAAAATCCAATTGCAAGAAAATCTCTCAATTATTCTGATAAGAATACTTTTGTTTTAAAGTAAGTTTTCATTCAAACATATTTACATCAAATTGTGTGTTTGATAAAATGAAACCTATAATAGTTAAAATTTGATGCAGTTACTAAAAAAATCAAAATAAATAAAAATAATAAGATAATTAATTTACAAGAAATAATTTTTTAATTAAAAACATTGAATAAATAGTTTTTTATCACGGTCAATGAGTGCCTATTTGAACATTATAAATCAAAAAAGCAATTTATTAGTATTAGTATTATATTGTATATGTTATTATATATTGTTTATATATTTTGTATATGTTGTATATGTTATATATGTTGTAGATATCTTATTACATTGTATATATATATATATATATATATATATATATATATATATATATATATATATATATATATATACATACATACATACATACATACATACATACATACATACATTCATACAGGCTTGGACAGGAATTGTGTGCGATCGCACTCTGTAACTGACCACGCTAATAGTTTTTTTTCTTTACAACTTCAGGGCTTGTGATGAATCGAGCGCGATCGCGCTCCGCTCGTGAAACGCGTCCGTAAATGGTATTTTAAAACGTTCCAGGCGCAATAAACAACGCTCGTTCAGCTTATAACGAGTGTATAAAATAACGCTCGTCCAAGAGTTTGGGGCAAAACAAATAATAACTTTTTTTTTTTTTTTTTCATAAAATATGAAAAAAAGATTTTTTAATAAAGATTTTATATTATCGAAGCGCTAATATAATATAAAATAAAAAAAGCACTACGTCATTCTTTTTTGCACTAACCTAATGAATGAGCAGTTTGAAGTCGTTAATAGGCACTAATTTCATTGATGGAATGTGCATGTAGAAATTCAATGCAAATACAAAAATGCACAAATAAAATAATAAAAAATTAGTAAACCATTATAAGAAAATTGAAACTGCAGAATATTTTTAATCTTGTGAAAACATCAAGTAAGATTTATTTGATTTATTGTTTGTAATATTCCATACATCGTTTATAATAAAAATAAGTAATAATGATTCAGTAATTTTTTAAATTAGTTTTTGTTTATAGTATAAGCTTTTTATTAACTATTATTTATTTTAACTCAAATTTAAAACGATTCTGTTGTTTAGAATGTCCGCAATCAATGACATTCCAAAAGGAAACAAAGTAATGTTGTCAACATTTATTAAATGGAAAGTTCAAGAGGTAATAGGCTTTAGAACTGAAGTTACCAGATATGAGTGACGAATTAGCTGCATTCAGTTTCGAAAATGTAGAAGAGGAAACACTGTTGACAACAGTTGAGGGGGAAATCTGTTATTTAACCTATAATGAATAGTTTAAAAAAAAAAAGATTTTCAAACTTTCTTGTGTTATTTTTTTAAGATAAAAAAATTGTAATTTAAAAAAGAAATTTTAGAAATAAATTAATTTGAATAAAAAGTATCAAGTAATATAAAAACTATTTTTAAATACATATATCAAAACAACGAAACAAAAAAAGGCACTAAATTATAAAAAAGTCACCAAATTATACTTCAATACTAAATCAACAAGAAGTTGCGTTTTTGTTTGATTTTTTTTTTTTTATAACATAAATAGTTAAAAAAAAATCCCGATCTGACAATATACAAGAGTGTTAATTCATGAGTGTGATACTAATTATAACATTTGTCGACGAAAGAATGATGTAACAAATAAAAAAAGATCTTCTTCAGCAATTTTCAATGTCGCGCTCGTCGACGTTATCTCGAGCGCACATAATCACGCTTGATGAAAACATATTTTAATTTTACGAGCGCGATGTAACACGCTTGACGATTTTATTCGTCACAAGCCCTGCAACTTGACCACGACTATTTTGATGTTTTAACAATTTAAATGCAATAAAAAGTGTTAAGTTGAATAACCTTTAATCGTTGATCTTTTCTAAAGTTTTTATTTTAAGTGAAGGCTTTAAAATAAAACCATATAATTAATTCTGTTTTTAATGATTGTTTACATGTGTGTAAATTATTAAAAAATGTTATATTAAATTTTTTTTATGTAGGAATGTTTTTTCATGATAAACAAAATTTTAAAGCATTAATTTTAAAAAGATTTTTCTAAAGTTACTTTAATTTATGAATAAGTTCAAAACATTTTGCGACTACTAGCTTTTACACATTTACATTTAGCTTTTAAATGTGAATTATACAAGAATATAAAATAACTTTATTTACTTATATAAGCATGTATTTTGTAATGTTTAAAAGATTCATTTTTATAATTAAACTAACAATTTTTTAAAATCTTTTTAAAAAAAACATTTTATTTTTTGAATTTTTTTTTTTTTTTTTAAACTACGATAGGAATGAATGTGTTAAAATCATTTATAATAATTTTTAAATTCGTTACGTGAAGTGCTTATTAATAAAGTTGTAATGCTCAAATTAAAATTAAATTGCTTGTTGGCAGTTTATTTTATTTAAATCGCAGGCGCATTTTATTTATTTATTTTTCCTATTTTTACGAATAAAAGAGTTGGAAACCTTTTTTTTTTAACTAGACTTAGTAATTAGAGCACTAAGTTATTTTTTTAAATAAATTTTTTTTTGCAACTTTTTTGAAAAAATAAATGTTTACAGTTTAAAAATATTGAATACAATACTTTTGAATAAATTTGATAAAATTTGTTCATTTATTAAATTTAGTAATTTGCCACTTAATTCAAAAGCGTTTTGTGTAACTTTAATAAAATGTTTTAAAAGATTTATTTCAAACGTAATTAAAAACCTAACAAAAAGTTTCGCTTCGAGTTAAAGTTTTTATTTTTTATTTTTATTTTAGTGCTTATATAATTTCTTTTTCATAATTAAACTTTTTCCTAACTTAACGTTTCTACATTCAGCGCATTTTTGAAATTTTTAAATCATCGAAACATATAAGCAATCGCGGTCGAGTTGTCAAGAAATAAAATCATTTGCGTTGTCAGTAATAGCGCTCGATCGCATGCCATTCCTGCCCAAGCCTGCATACATACATACATGAATACATACATAAATACATACATACATACATACATACATACATACATACATACATACATACATACATACATACATACATACATACATACATACATACATACATGCATACATACATGCATACATACATACATACATACATATATACATTGTATGTATGTATGTGTGTATGTATGCATGTATGCAACCCTTAGAAATAGGAAAAATGAGGTTGACAATAATTAGTTGACCTCAATCTTTAAGAGGCCGGCATCAGGTTGGCAAAAAAAAATTGATACTAAAATCCTCCATAAAACATATAAACGAAGTCGGCAATAATCAGTCAACCTCAAACGCTTTTAGGTCGGTACTGCCGAATGCCGACCCCAATTCCAAAGGTATGTATTATGCATGTATGTATGTATAGTCTTAGTTTAGTACAATTAACTATAAGTTCTAGCTAAACTTTACCTCCATTATTAGCATTATTAAAAATTCTTTAAAAGAGTTCCCTTTCATTTTTTATATTTAATTCAAAATCAATTATACTTTTAAAAAAACTTATTAGCACTCTTTATCCCCAGTTGTTTTTTTAACAAGCAAAGACAACCATCGCAGAATACGCCTTAATATGCTTTTATGTTTGTACATTTGTTGTATAACTATGTTTGGATATTCATACTCATTTTTAGATTTAAAAAAAAACAACAATCAAACACTAAACTTTTTTTAATTTTGTATTTAAATGTTAGTTTCCAGAAATTTCTCAATACATTATTTTTTGAAAGAACAATAGCTGATTATTTTTGATTATTAGTATGGCAGTAGAGATTAAGTAAAACCTGAAATTTTTATTTGATGCAAAGTTTAGTACAGTTATGGCAAAGATAAAGTCCCCAAAAAGATTCAGAAACATTACTTTGAATCACTACTTGTTCCTGGTCTCTGATGTATCTAGGAACTCTAAAAATGTTGACAGCCTTATGGACTCAGGATTGCCACTGGTCATGGAAATCATGGAAATGTTATGGAATTTTATTTGGTCATGGAAAAAGTCATGGAATTCCTATATTTTCATTGAAAGTCATGGAAAATTCATGGAACTTTTTAAAATTATCTTTATTTTTTTCTACTTGCAATATTTTTTGGATGCAAAGAAAAGTACTAGTATGTCTAGTCTAACTCCTTTTTGAAAGAGATATTTTTGCAGTGTAAGCTATCAGAGAAGTAAAAGAAAATGAACTTTTTTTAGGCATGATTTCAGAACTTTCTACCAATTAGTTTTTGGTTTGCATATTTTATAATGACCAAGTTGCAAATGCTTAGTGCATGACAAGTTTCAAATGCTTAGTACATGACAAGTTTCAAATGCTTAGTGCATGACAAGTTTCAAATTCTTAGTACATGACAAGTTGCAAAAAAACATGACAAGTACTGAATATTTTCCTCTAGTAATTTATCATAAAGGTTTATAAAGAGTCGTGGAATTTTTTTTTTTAATTTGAGTTGCTACCCTGTCGATTACATTGAGAAAAAAATACAAGGAATTCAAAACATATCATTTTTTAACTTAATTAAAAAATGATATGTTTTTGAATTCTAAATTAAAAAATGATATGTTTCAAAACATATCATTAAAAAATGATATGTTTTAAAACATATCATTTTTTAACTTAGAATTTGTCATGATGAGTTTGTCATCATTAACAGAACTCCAGGTTCAAAATTTATAGTTCCTGTACCCTATATAATCTGATTTTTTTTTTTTTTTTTTTTTTTTGATAAAACTTGTCTCTCAATACTTTAGGTACTCATGGAGGCCTAAGGCCAGGAATAGCGGTTTAACAATTTTTAAAATCTATGTCTATTTCGGGACTTCAAATCTGGTTTTAACAAAACCAATTTTTATAGAATCTTACATGTGTAGTTTGCAAGTTTACACTTGCATGTTGGGCAAAAGATCAAAAAATCCATTAAACAATATTCAGTGCATAGAAACATGATCTGTGTACTTAACTATGTGCACCTTCAAAAAAATTGTAGTCATTAGATTTGTATAGCTTGTCCATCTTTAAATTTGGTAGATTTTAATGATTTTCTGATAACAACCAATAACAATTTTTTTCAAATTTCAACTTATTGCAAGCACTGCCTTCTAAACGATGCTATCCTTGCTAAAATACTCTGAAGATGTTTATCTTAGACAGATTACTCTTGTTTTTTTTTATTTTTCAAGAAATTCATTGTTCTCTGTTTTTAGGGCGATTGATAGTTTTAATTTTAGGAATCCCTGCTCTCCACCTGCACCTAATTTGATATCAGCATCATTTGTTTTGTAATTTCTGTGGTGAAGCACCATTGCTGCAAGCTCTTTCATTGCAATAAACCATAAAGAGTATCTTTTCCTACCAACTATACAGGCATAAAAAAATCCAAATACAGATCTAGTTATTAAAAATAGAATAATAAAATAATAGAATAGAATATTAGAATAAAAAATTTTAGGTAATAGACTACTTACCTCCATGTTTTCATTAAAACCTTACCTGGTATTTAAAGTTTGTTCAATCTATTCAAAGAAAAAAAAAGTCTTTCTCTGTCTTTCTGACAGATACAATAAGTTGCTTTAGATCAAAAGTTTTCAAAGCTAAAGTTAAAGCTAAAGTGTTCCTTGATCCATTTATGCTCAAATCTTTGATAAAACTGGCCAGAACTTTTCCTTGCATTGCATGGAATGCTGATTTTACAATGGTCATCAAATTCTTTTTTTATTCTAACTTTATACAGTGATTTTTAATTTACGCCCAACTCTGGTATTCAGGTCCAACTCTGGTATTGAGGTCTAACTCTAGTATTCAGGTCTAACTCTGGTATTCAGGTCTAACTCTGGTATTCAGGTCTAACTCTGTTATTCAGGTCTAAGTTAGCATATGTATAGTAACTATAGTTACCATTATAAAAAAAAAAATTTCATTAAATATCATTATGTATAAAAATATACTTTACTTTCTTAATGCGGTTGCTTAGTGAAGTAAGGTAAGTCCCAGCAAGCTTTTTTCTACGACCTTCCTACCAAGCTTTTAAGCAAAGCATGGTAGGAAGATTGATGGAAGATCTGGGTTATCTGCTGAATAATCAGAGTATAGTTTTGAGTCTTTTTTTATTTTATTCAGATTTAAATTTTCAGATGTTTTTTCATCATTATTTGTTCGTAAATCCTTGCTTTGTCTGCTTTTTCTGAAGCTGCAAATATTGAATATTTTAAGAAAACCAACATATTGATAGATGACATCACTATCAACATATTGTTATTGTTTTGCATGATTAAGCTATTTGAATAAAAACTTTAAATAAATTGAATTTCAATATAATGATTGAAAACATGTTTTGTTATGCCAAAGCATATAATATTTAATATATATTAAATTAACAATGGCTACCTTTTGTCATGAATTAATAACTGTTGATAATTGTAAATAATTGGAATAATAACTGTTAATAATTTGTGTGCAAAAGGAAATAGAAACTGATTCACGAAGTGTCACTTTACAGCAGAAGCAATATAAAATTGGTACAGTTGCAACTTTTTTGAAAAATACAGTTTCAAGCCTTGTATAATAAATCAAGTGCTTATTTTTTGTTGAGATATTTAAAATTTAAACTTTTATCCTTGATACTCAATAATATTATTATTTGAATGTATAATTTATTTTTACCAATTTTATATATACATACATACATACATACATACATACATACATACATACATACATACATACATTTATACATATATACATATATACATATATACATATATACATATATACATATATATATATATATATATATATATATATATATATATATATATATATATATATATATATATATATATATCATAGATAAGTTTTTTCTGGGAATTCCCAGAATTCCAGAAATTCACTTAAAACTCCTTTAATTTTCCAGAAATTTCCAGGTGTTTTTTTTTAGTAACTTGTTTTAAAAAAATTTCAAATTTTTACATAAAATTTTAAAAACGACAACTTTTGCATTTAAACAAATATGTTTTGCTATAGTTAAAATTTTTACGAGATCAATTTTGGTAACAATTTTTTTTTCTTTTTTTTTTTTTCTTTTTTAATTTATTCAAATTAACTTTTTCGAGTATTAGAAATTTCTTTTTGTAAAAAGTTAAATGATCCGTTTTAAAAGTTTACGAAAGTTTTTGTTTTCGTTTTTTTTTTATTGTTTTTTTTTATTTTAATTCACCTCCTCAAGACCGAGAAGGCCACTACAGACGAGGAGGCTACTTTTTTCCTTATTTTATGTTACTTACTCTTTTTTTTTTATTATTTTAATTCACCTCCTCAAGGCCGAGAAGGCCACTACAGACAAGGAGGCTACATTTTTCCTTATTTTATGATACTTAAATATCATATCTAATGTTTGTCTTAAACTTTTTTGCTTATATAATTTCAATATTAATTATAGACTAAATATGCACACTTTGAATGAATTGCGGCATAACATCTTAGAGCTTTTAAGCAAGTGCAATTTACCAAAAGTAAGTTTATTATTTGTTATGATAATTATTTTTGTTTATTGTGTTTTAATAAATTAGTCATTTTTATTTCATTTCATATAACACTCTTTAGCAACTAAAAAAATGTGAAAAAGAAATATGTGCTTAATACCAAATCAGCTGTGCTGGTTTGAAATGTGAAGTTAGGTGTTAGATGTTCTTCAGGGTTCTACACTTGGTTTTAAACTTTTCATTTACTTCTTTTCATGTTACCAATGATATGGCATGAACAAAATGGTCATGTACTAAATTATTATTTCTGTGCCTTCTTGATCAAAAGAATCAGTGATAAAACAAGAAAGCAAATGGTTTATTCACAACTTGCTTTTAGCCATTTGACCAGTTGTACATTCCACCAAAAATCATTTTATCAGTGACTCCAATAAAACAGCCTCTCATAAGCACTGCAACCACCTTGTGACCACTCACAATTCGGTTGCTACAGGCCTGCACCTTTTTGATGTATTGTATGTGCCTCAATTATAACAGGAGAGTTAATTGACCTAGTATGATACCTTCAGTCAACCAAAAATCAAAATGAAGTACTTGCCTGCAAGGTTGGAATTTGTTAAATGCTATGTAAGAGAGACTAATTTTTGCAAGTGATTAGCTAACCTGACAAATTGACCATGTTTACCACTGGAGAATTATATCACTGATCTTCATGCTCTTTTCAAGTTTCATCAAATTATGAATTGAACGCCATTTTTATAGTTTATTCATTGATGCATCTTAATCTAACATAAGTCTGTTATTCATCTTAATCTAGCATGAATCTTTAATTCCACCTCTCTTGTATGGTTCAGGCTTGTCACCTCATCTAAAGACAAAGCTAAATTATTTGCTAAGAACTTTTCATCAATATCATCTCTTGATTCCACTAGTTGCGTTCTATCTGATATAGCTATCAAACAGGTTGATCCATTGCTTGTCATTTGTATCACTCCAGTTTCTGTATCTAAAGTGATTTCCTGCTTAGACTCTTTTACGCTTGTGGCCCGGACAACATACCTGTTATGGTGTTGCAGAAGTGTTCTCCGGAGCTGTCGTCTATTGTTTCAAAACTATTCAACAAGTGCTTATTAGAGTCTTGTTTTCAAGTCTGCTGGAAAGCAGCATCTGTTATCCCTATTTTTAAAAATTCTGGAGAGCGATCTGATTTGTCTAACTACTGTCCCATTAGTCTTCTTCCTATCATAAGCAAAGTTTTTGAATATTTAATTAACAAACACTTAATCTCTCATCTCAAATCTCATAACCTACTTTCTGATCATCAATATGGATTTTGATCTTCTCGTTCTACGGCTGATTTGCTATCAGTAATAACCAATAGGTTTTATCGCGCATTAGATAAAGGTGGAGAGGTTAAGGCTATTGCTCTTGACATTTCTAAAGCATTTGATAAAGTTTGGAATGCCGGTCTTCTCCGTCAGCTTCCTTCTTAAGGTGTATCCGGAAACATCTTTAAGATTATTGAATGCTTTCTTTCCAATCGTAGTATAAAAGTTGTCCTTAATGAACAGCACTCTTCTTATTCTGTAACTTCAGGGGTTCATCAAGGTTCAATCCTTGGCCCAATATTCTTTTTAATTTACATTAACGATCTTCCAGATATTCTCACATCTAAGGTGGCATTGTTTGCTTGTGATACTACCATTTATTCTTGTCATGATAAGAAGCCAACACTCTCTGATTGCTTGGAGGGGGCATTTGAGCTTGAAAAGGATCTCACTTCTGCTACAGCATTTGGCTCACAGTGGCTGGTGAACTTTAATTCAGATAAAACTCAATTTTTTTCAGTCAATTATTATCGCAATAATTTAGACCTTCCTATATTTATGAACAGCAATGTACTCGATGAGTCATCTACCCTTCATCTTCTAGAATTAACTTTTACTTCCGATCTTTCTTGGAAACCATATATCAAATCAATTGCAAAATTAGCATCTGCTAAGGTTGCAACTTTTTATCGAGCTTGACACTTCCTTACTCTAGATTCTATTCTCTATCTCTATAAATCTCAAATCTGTCCCTGTATGGAATACTGTTGCCATATCTGTGGCAGATCTTCTATTGATGCCCTTTCTCTTTTAGACAAGGTGCAAAAACGCATTGTAAACATAGTTGGACCTGCTCTTGTGCTCCAACCTTCAACCATTATCACATCGTCATAATGTTGCTTCTCTTTCTCTTTTCTACAAATACTATAATGGGCACTGCTGTAAAGAGCTAGCGTCTCTTGTGCCATCTACTAAAATTCATTCTCGTGTTACTCGTCATTCAATTAAGTCTCATTCTTTTTCTGTGACTGTTCCTAAGTGATCCAAAAATTCTTATTCCTCTAGTTTTTTTTCTCGAACATCAGTTCTTTGGAATTCGCTTCCTTCATATTGTTTTTCTGATTCAAATAATTTGCAATCTTTTAAGTTGTCTGTCAATCGTTATCTTGCTCTACAATCTTCATCTTTTCTCTTCCAGTAACTTCTAACTCCAATTAGTGGTTGCTTGCAGCCTTGTTGAAAGCTATTTATTTATTTAAAGCTATTGTTGAAAGCTTTTTTGAAAGCTATTTATTTATTTATGTTGTTTAAAAAAAAAAAAGTTCTTCTTCTCGATAGCATTTTACATCCATCTGTTGATACATTTTTCTGTCATCTTGACTGAATTTCTGTCATATTTTTTTTCTATTTTGTCTGCCATGTTTTTTAATGAAGTTCTTCTTTGCATCCAATATGATCACAAATGATCTGGCTTCAAAGTTATTGTCATTTCGATGGGGCTACAATCAAGATACTGGAAATACTGCTGTTTCATTTGACTGTGGGGTAGTTAAAATCATGCTGAGCACTACACGCTGAAATAAAAGTTTCTATTGCTATTCATGTTATATAAGTTACTATTGCTTGTTATATAAGTTGCAATAGGTAAGATTTTTTTTCACTAGTTGATAAACTAAATGTGAACTACTTCTACATATTAAAGTAGCTTTAATTATGCAAAATTATGCACCTGGAAAATATATAAGAAAAAAAAACCTGTATATGAAATGTGCAGCTTTCAAATACCTGGTTCAGAAGTTTCCTGCATTGAGCTAGATAAAATTAAAGAGGGAACTTTTGTAGGATCTGACAAGGCACCTACTTAATGCAACAATTTCTTGCACATGTTGAATAACATTTTAATGGCTGCTTGGAAAGCGTTCTGCTCAATTTGTGCAGGTGGCATTTTCTGACCACACATAGAATTTTTTTCTGCTGATATGGTTACTGTCAGTGATAAGCAAAGTGTTAAGCACTGTTACAGAAAAATGCTCTGAAAGAAAATGGTCACCTGAAAAGCTAGCAACTGTAGTTGGATGCTACAAAGAGATGTTGCTGATGTAGTTATAACAGGCTTCTTGTGCTAAACACTTTTAGTATAGCATAATGACAAAGGAAGGATCTGTGTAAGGCTACATACTGAGTAACTTAAACTGCAGATTTGTATATGGGTAATGTATAACTACTGATTTTGTGAATTATAGTATTTTGCTTCACATGCAATTACAAGCATAAACCATCTTGTGAGGTAAATTTTTGTTTTGTTGCTTTTACATAGTTTGTTATTGTAAAACATAACCATTTCTGTATCCATTATGCCATAATTTGTGTCTCTATAAATAAGATATTGTTCTACTTGCATTTATAGCAACTTCTCGTTAGTATTTGATGACATAAAATTTTACAATTCAAAATATATATACATATATATATATATATGTGTGTGTGTTAGTTTGACGAGATAAAGTTTCAAATGCGATTTTCTCATTCTGAGAAAATTGCATTTAAAACCTTATCAAGTCCTTAAAAATACTTAATGTCAAATTTGACTAGAGCTTAGAATACTGAAATAGAAATAAGTGTCAGTTAGTTGCCACTTCAACACAGGAAAATGTGTATAGTATCTTTAATTTAATACAATAAATCAGATTTAATGATTTTATAAATATCTTATTTTAAAACACAAATACCTGTTTTTTTAGAAAAATTTTGTTAGCAATGATAATTTCATTTCAGTGGAAGATTATCAGAGGATGCTTATGTGATTGTGGTTTATGTGGAACTGGATCTTCAAAATCTAACTTTGCAAATTTTTTCAAAAATAACAAAGATATGTTAAACATCAAACCTTATAACCCTGAAAATGAAAATAAGTTGTATATGGCTGGGAAAGTGGTTCATATTTGCAAGATAAAATCTGTGTATGGAAGGTAGTTACAACTTTTTATCTATATTTTGAATTATATTTTTGATTAGTTAATGATTCATTCCATAGTAGTTTATTAATATTTTTTCTTTTTATTTGCTCAGACCATTCAGACCATAGTACTATTAATTTTTTATTTATTTATACTTTTTCATATTATATGTTCATAATTATTTTTAAGCTATTTATTAAGAAATGTTTTTATTTAAAGATTTTCACGCAAGTTCTCAATTTATGAAGCATATTGGTCAGTTCCAGAAGATTTTCAAAACATTCTCATCTCTCGTCTGATGCTTCAGGATCATTTTCCTGATGCCTTGATTGATGCTTTGAATAGTATTCCTGAAAAAACAAGTATTTGTGACGATAATGATGATAAGATATTAAATGTTATTAGTGAGGCATAGAATCTTATTCAACATACAAATGGTTTTTTACTTATTAGGTAAGAATCTAATTTTTCACCTTGTTAAGTTTCACAGGTAGATTTTTTTCTGAACCGTTTAACTTTTTAACTCGGCTGCTTTGAGTAAAAACCAGTTTCCATTGAGCTTTAATTAAAATCATCTTATAACAACTTCCATCGCTTTTAATTATTTTGGTCAAAGTTTGTTTTGCTTCTTTTGAGACCCAACCTAAGACCCAACCTTTAAGATGTTTTGTTTGCGTTTAGATTAACACTTTAAATAGTTTTTTTCTGTTAGGCTTTTATCTAAATAAAATTCATCAATTATCGTCTGTTATGTTTTTATTATATTTTATATTATTATTTTTATTTATTTTTTTTACTATAATTTTTTAAGTTTTGCATTTTTTTTCTTAAAAATTTTTTTATGTGTTTTTAAAGGTAAAAAAATAAAAACTTCAAATCACAACAAGGTCCTTTGAAAAGCCTTAAACTCCTCTCTTTGAGGGCTACAGGGTGCCCTAAACATAGCTCTTTGTATCATGTTAGCAAAGTTTATATAAGTTAGTTTTGTAAATTTATGTAATACCTTATATTACCATTTTATCTCACAGATATATGATATTATATTTAAAACTCCATTTTAGAACTTCAATTTTAAATTTAATTACAAATTAAGTAATAACTTTAATTACAACTATAGTTTTATTATGATGTACCTATAGTACCATTTTATTATAAATATTTAAGTATAAACTATTGTAGCCAATTATAAATATAAGATTTAATCTCATAACTTGTTCGCTGCTATTATTGATTATAAAGAATTTTATGTAAACCTTTTAGCTTTTTTTTTTTTTTTGTTATAAAGTCAATGTATATTTTCAGTTACGATATTAGCATTGGATGCTCTCACGGCAATAATGTTGAAGTAAATTTAGAATTTTTTTTATTTTTATTTTTATTTTCATATAAACAGAGATGAATTCAATTATTTTAACTTTTTACTAAAGTTATTTCATAATATAAATATAAAAATGTAGCTAATTTGTAATTGAGTTGTTTTTTTGTTTTTTTTTAATTTTTAGATTGTTAATAAGTTATATATAAGAATGTAGTTCATTGTTGCGAATTTGTAAATATTTTTTTCAGTCAAATAATTTTTTGTTTTTTATAATTAGTTTTTTTTTTTCACATTGCTCGCTTAGCGCAACCATTCACCCAGAATTTTTCTTTGTTCTAAATTAAGGTGGTAGTATACCATTAAGAAAAATCTTGTATTTCAAATTTTTTTTTCCCATTTTTTAATAGTGCATAATATATATTATATCCTTAAAATAAAAGTAGAAATTTGTAAATTTTTAAGAATGAATGTTGCGCATAACTATTGATAGACAAAAGCATAAAAATGAGTAGCTGGCGACAGGGTTTTTTCAGCAACCATAAATAAACTTGTGATCCTTTACTTATGCAATTACAAAATACACTAAAAGTTTTGGATTTTGATCAAAATAAGTCAAAGTATATGCGTTTTAGTCATATTTGGAAGTTTTGGTGTTATTTGCGAACACAAAACCACTCACAAAAGTAGAAAGCATTTAGCTGTAAACTTAATTCTAGTAGAGGTTGCAAATACATGTGATACAAACACGTATACCAAATTTCAGGTCTAATTGATTATCGGTTTGAAAAATATCTCTGTTGCCGGGTTATAAAGCATGATTTTGGGGAAAACTGAATTTAATAAATCGGTCAGTGATTTAGTCATGATTAAAAGTTATAAAAGACAAGTAAACTATCATTTCATTAAAAAGTGTTCATTTTATTTTAACTGGATGGTTTTAACGTCGGGTAAAACAAGTAATATTCTTCCGCTCCAAACGGATGGGGAAAAAAAACAGTGCTAGGGGACCATATGTATCACTCTAAGCTATTGTACATCTAAGGCTGGCGCGAATGGTGTGTGGTACCCTCACCTATCAACGAATTTTAATTCAAGTTGGCAAGTTTAGCTCTTTTAGAGCATCGAGTCGGCATATGTAGACCATATAGTAAATCAGCAAACTTCGACTTTTAGTACTGTCGGCAAATGTGAAAAGCGATGACTTTTTTTTTTCTTGAGGCGGAAAAAATATTTATGGCATTTTTGCTACAGTCAATAGAAATTCTGGATCCGTTCCTGCGACTACTTGTTTTCAACATACTAAGATTGACAGAATTTTCAACCTAATATAAATTTAATTGTTTTTGATCAAATTTTTTGCTGTCACTTGATTCTCTAAAATCAGTTTGATTTTTAATTATTAAAAATTAATTAAAAAAATTGGTAAGAAAGACTATAATTATAAAGAAAGAATATAAAAAAAATTTGGTCTCAGTAAGACGTTCTAAAATAGTATCTACATTTTGCAAATGTTTTTTCCTAGATCAAATTAGTAGGTTCAGTCTTACTATGTGATGTAATTGTAAAACATGTGACGTATATACTTTTTAAGTAGTATGCAGTACAATTACTTAAAAATAACGCTATAAAAATACATTAATAACGTTGCGAAAATACAGTTAGAGGTGAAGTGTTGTAAGGATTTTAAAAACATTAATGTATGTTTTGATGTTACTGTAGTAAAGAATGTACCTATAAAGTATGTGGGGGTAAAGAATATATTCATCACCTTTTCCCTTAAGTCTATTTTAACTGTTTTAAAAGGTTAAACGACGTTTAATTTATAAAAAAAGTTACACAAGTGTTAGTATACTTTGATCATTTTAACAAACAATAAAAATCTCTCTAAAAGTTAACACTGCATCTTCTTTATGCCATAGTAGCAGTCTGTCTCATATTTATGTTTAAAGTCAGCTTTACTTTTTCTTAAGCAGCAAGTGAAACAAGAATCGGTTCTTTTCTCCCAATTATACAACATTCACACTCAAAAGCTACTAAAAATATGAAAAATGTTTTCTTGCTACTACTGTACAAAATAGCTCATAAAAAAATTAATGGTCTGACTTTTAAAACGCTAAAAAAACTCTTTTTTTGTCTTGTTTAATAGATTAAACATTTTTTTTTAATTTTTTTTAGGTGCCCCAAGAAGTCTTTACGGTTTTATTACAGAGCACAGCGGAAAAGCATTTGAAAGGAAGTTCCCACCTCTTTTATCACCGATGTTATTAAAATTGCCCAGAGGTGGCTTTGAACCACAGATCTCTAGCTTCTAAAGCAAGCGCGCTAACCACTGCCTTACTCATAAAAAATGCTGCAAATAAAAACAACAGAGCATCAAGTTCCCAGAGAAGAGGGCAAAATCAGATTCAACATGTATATCCAAGCTGTATTAACCAATTATATAAACCGTTAACAGTTTCTACCTTAACGCATGGTTTGGAGTCATCGTTTTCAGCGGTTGTTTCTTGTGACTTTTAACTTGTCAACATCATTGTGTATTGACAATGTTGACAAGTTGAAAGTATCATTTTTGTTCTTGGTGCCCATATAATTAATTAAACGAGTCTGTAGGAGTCTGGAAAAAAATAAATAAAGTATTTTGTTTTATTATCGTTTACTAAACTTAAATTTATCAGCAGGTTTTTAATTTCATTTAGTAATCCTTTAGTGTTCGAAGTATTGACCATGTATTGTCTTCTATTAGTATGACTATATCTAAATCTCTTGCTACGTATAATCAACCGATCATTGCGTTTAATCAAGGCTCGACGACGTTTTCATAGAATGTTTCATTGACATAAGGATCCTAAAAATAATTGATCCTAAAAATAATTGTAAAACATTTGTAAAGTTATACAAATATAAATAAAGTTGCAAAAGTATATATAAAGATTAAATTATACAAATTTAAATAATATTTTAAAAGTGAAAATAGTTCAACACGAAAAAAAAAGAATGATAAATTATATTTCAATACAAAATTAAGGAGATTAAAATCAAGTTATGAAGATTAAATTATATTATGGATATTGAACAAAACAAAAATAATCAAAAATATATACATAATTATACACTATAGGAGTTATAATTTTTGAATCCTATAAAGTATTTAATAACTTCAGTTCTGTTTTAGATAAGCTTCCAATAATTATATCATTGTTTTTTAAATGTCTGTGGGATATTTTTAAAGTTTTACGATTTTCTTTGAGATGCTTTTAGAACGGAAATGTATCACTGAAACGAAGGTTGTTGTTCTTTACAAAAGATCAGCTGTTAAAAAATCTTTTATTGTTAAAAAATCAATTGTTTTATAAATGATTGAACTAAATAAATTAAACACAATTATGTGAAGATTTTTTTTCTTTATATAAATATGTTTTTATAAAAGCAATAATGCTGATGCTTACAATTGGATATATATATATATATATATATATAATAGTCCACGTCCCAGTTTTCCGACTGAAGGTCCAAAAGTTCTCTATTTGCTGACTTATGGTATAAAAGCTCATTAATTAATCACACACACCCCTACGCGCCGGTCTTGTGTATATATGACGCTCTACGACAAAACAAGTTGCGCAGATGATAAGATTGCTATATATTGCGTTAAAAGTTAAATAGCCTTTAATTTTGATGCTTTCAGATTTACAAAGAAAAAGAAATAAAGTTTATAGAAAATTCTTTAGTACAAAAGAGTTATGAAATATATTACTAAAAGTAACCTGTTCTGAATACAATATACCCCCGTTGTGTCGTAGTATAATTTTCTACTTCGTGTTTCGGCTACATTAAAAACAATTAAATATCGGTTAATAAAAAAATATAAAATATATATAACAAAAAGTATAACTTTCCTTGTCAAAAAAGGACATATTTTTCAATAAAAAAATGATATGCTTTTAGTGTTTGAAAAACAGGATTTCCGGCTTTAAAAGTTACAACAAGGAAGCTGTGTAGTTCAAGACTTAAACCCTGCCTATATTATTGATAATTTTTTGTTGATGTTGCTTTTTTTCACAAATGTTAAAGTAGATCAACAAATTGTTTTATTCCATTTTTACATAAAATATTTTAACGATTGCTTACATTCCGTTCCACATTCAAAGGTTTTAATAGTTTGTTACATCCCGTTTTACATTAGATGATTTTGATGAAAAGGTTTAAACTTAAACCTAATAATAAACTTTACCGACAAACACTTATTAACAGTAACACATTATAATACAACAAAAACAATATTATATTTATAGTATTCGATTAAAAATCTTAAAATATAGCAACGGACAATAAAAATATTTATTATATATATATATATATATATATATATATATATATATATATATATATATATATATATATATATATATATATATATATATATATATATATATATATATATAAATATCTAAATGTGCTTGGAAAAAATGACTTCAATATATATTTTTAACGTTTCTCCAGCTTTCTTATGTCTATTGTGAAAAGTTGAATACTATCCTCAGTGGATCGTTTCATAATATCGTCCTCTAAAAGTATTTTGGCGGGATTTTGTAGAAACTAGCACTTGTTTATAATAACCATAATAACCATGGTTAACTTTTTTTTTAATTTTTTACAAATTATTTTATTTTAAGGAATTTTGCTGAAAGCTGCTTTTTGTTTGAGCTATTCTACTATAGGTTATTTTTGAAGATAATTTATTCAATTCATAGTTTGAATTTGTTAAAACCAAAATAGTTTTGAAAGAGGTGGTTTCAACCGCTTTACGTGATTATTTCATAAATAACTGTTTTATAATTTAATGAAATGTTAATTTGAAATCAAATTTGATAAGTAAAACAATACATACAGTGATGAAAAGTGTGTCATATATATTCAGTGTGTGTGTGTGTGTAGTAAACAACAACAAAAAATGGTTTAAGTGAACGTTTTTTAAACTTTTTGATAAGAGAAAATAGTTACTTGTTACAATTGTATATTCTTTAAAAAATCAAAGAAAAGATTATCAAAAGTAATAAATAGTTTTAAACATTGAGGATTAAAAGTAATAACCAGTTTTATACATTTGAGGAAATAATTGCGTACATTTTAAAACACCCACACACCGTCTGGTTTGTATTTGTAACACTTTAACGAAGAGCAAATAAAAACCGCCGTTTGTTTGGCTAAAATAATTTATTTGTTAATTATGACGTCACAACTTCTTATGATAATTTATATAAAACATTCGCGTGTTATTGGTTGATTAGATTAGTTTGTTTTGGGCATGCCTACGTTCAGAAATAACTAACATTCTTGCTTTATTAAATCTTTTAGATTTTATTAATGCGAGATTTCAGATACAATATTTTAGTAGCAAGTTTTACAATATTTTAATAGCAAGGTTTCATTTTGTGATTTTTGAATTTTTTTTTATAAACGGTATGTCTTTACCTACGCAAGTTACTTTTCACGAAGCAATTCTGCCACCACCAGCTCCTAAGAAAATTCCAATAAAAAAGCTTTTGAAGGCTTCCTCCCAAGTTAGGCGAAAACTTAATTTTGATTCATACGCAGATATAGTCTCCAGTGAAAAAAGAGCAAAGTTGGCGTGTCGTGTTGATAATTACAGTTTCTCTCATTATACAGTTAATGGTATGGCTATGCAAAATAAGATAAATGAACGAAACATTCAGAGTCAACTGTCATCGTACTCCAGCCGTATTCATATTATTCGACAAGGTTTGTTAGACAAATTAAATAAAGATAAACATTGTATCGTCCCCGACACCAGTATTATACAAAGTCAAGACACAAAGAATGATAATATAAGAACAAACGAGCTAAATAAAAATACCCAAGAATACAAATGTAATGGAGTGTAAATAAAACATGCGCTTTTCACGTTTTTGCTGTGAATTGCATTTATTCGTTTATAGTTTAGTTTTAGAATTTTAATTTATAAAAGTTCATTTATAAATTTTAATGTTAAAGAAATTGGTTAGATTTATATATAAAATTTTGATTTTTTTTTACTGTAATATAGATGTCTATAGTAAACTGTTATTTAAATAAACTAATATTTTTTATTGTCTGATATCCAAGAGTTATCTAAGTGGGAAGTCCAGTTTGTACTCGTATTTCTTCAGTTGAGAATTTCGTTTGTTTTTTTGTTAAAATGAAGTATTGTAAAAGTTTTGATAAAATAAACAAAAAGATTTGAGAGCTTAGAGAACAACTTTTGAAAGGATTATAAAGGTAGTGATATTTTTTATGTCTGAAAACATGTCGGTCAGACGATTACTCAAATGTAAAACATTTGAAACGTTTTTATAAACAAAAGTTTGTTTTTTACAAAATTATGTTTTGGCCATCTGTTACCATAAACTCGTGTTTTTTAATTAAAAAAAACCTTTTGTTACCAAATCAATAAATTTATTATGTTATTAAATGTCTTTGAAAATTTAACTTACTTTATAATTTAGTTAACTTTAGAAAAAAACTCGTTTTATTTTAAACTATGATAAAAACTATTCTTGCTTGTACTAATGTACCTAGTATTGAACGCAATAGTGTGCATATAATACTTATAATTATTGTGCCAGAAACTAAGGATTAAGGCATACTTTTTATTAGTTTACCAGCTGCCACGTGTTTTGTGTTTATTTATTTGCTGTATAAATCTGAAATTACAGAAATAATAATAATAACAATAATAATAGTAAAAATAATAAGAAAATTATACTGAACACATAAAATATTTTATGTCTTCGAGAAATGAAATATTATAGCTCTGGTAGCTGTACACTGGTGTTTTAAAGATACATGATACCATTTAGTTCAGTGCTTAACGAGTATTGATAGGAAGCTATCGTTCGTATGCTCTGTGGGAAATTTATTGAATGTTTTCTGAGACACTAATGAAATTACGTTTTTACTAAGTCGTTATTATTATTATCTTACTGCGCCTTTAAAATATAAACGATAATCACTACCGCTATTTCCTAGCGAATAAAAAAACGTGTTTAACAGCGCATATATAAAGAAATTATTTCATTGGAGAATTTCCTCAAATAAAAAGATGAACTTCTAAGGGAACTGATGCATTGATTAAAAAAGAGGTGATCAAGAATCTGCAATAAACTGCCGCAGATTTAAAAAAAAAATTGTCATTGTTTGGAAAAGTGTCTGTCAGAACAATTCAAGTTAGAATTCAATTAAAACTAGTCTTATTATGTCACATGCCAGCGCAAAAACTATTGCTTACGGCTGTTATAGTTAAGAAAAGAGTTGCATAAGGTCGTAGGCATAAGGATTGGGTACCAGAGCAGTGGTCTACCGTCATGTCCTTAGACGAAAGCAATTTTTCATTGATAAGTAGAAGCCAAATGCGAGTGTGTCATCCCGTGGTTCTGACAGATTTAATCCCAAATACACTGAACTGTCAAACATACTGCAAATGTAATAGTTTGTGGTTGATTTAGTATAAAACAGGGCAAGAAACACTATACTCTCTTTTCAAAAATGAAAAAACTTGTTCTGAGCACTGTATAAAGTGTTTGGAACAAAAACTTTAGAACACTTTTGAAATTTATCAATCAACTTTTATAATGATATTACTTTATTTATAGGCAAAATTACCTAAAACCTACACGTTTTTTTATTTGTAAATGTGACCATTAGAAGTCATTGCTTTTAAAATTACTTTTTTTTTTACCACGAAAGTAAATTTAATTAATAATCTAATTTTCCGGTATGTTTTCTGTATTCCAAAAAAAATACCGGGAAAGATTGTAAAAAAAAGTAAGCACCAACTTTTTAATTGATATCCGTTCTATTTTCTTGTCAACCCAATTGTCAAATTAACATATAAATTAATAAAATAATTCATAATTATTTTATTCATTTATATGTTAGTTTGACAATTTCCAATAAAAGGTTAGATAAAATTATTTATGATGACCAGTTTAGTCACATTTAAAGCCTTTTTAAATATTTTAAAATGGGTTGAAAGACAGTAAAAGAAGCAACAAAGTGGCAAATAATAGGTATGAAGGTTGTCTAAATGATAATTAATAGCAAGAAACAAAAAAATTTAGAGAATTTTTTTTTTTTTTTTAAATTTTAAAAAAATTTTATTTAGGTGCTCTAAGAAGTTTTTAGGGCCTTATTACAGAACACTGCGGAAGAGCACTTAATTGAAAGTTCACGCCTCCTTCCTAACCAATATCGCAAAACTTGCTCAAAGGTGGGGTTTGAGCCACGGATTTTGATCCCTATTTTAAATATTCTTACATTATATATCATATCCCTATTTTCAATATTCTTATATTATATATTATATCTCTATTTTATAGTATGTCTAGTAATACTAGACATACTATAAAAATAGTATATAGAAATACTAAACTCTAGTATTTAAAATATTCTCCATAAGTTTTTATGTAAGTCTATTTGAGAATAGTACAAAAAATATTTTATCAACTTGTTGCCCCTCACGTTTGGGGTTGGGGTGATGAAGTCAAAGGGTTTTTTTGTTTCCAGCCTCCAATCTTTGCAATTTTTTGCTAAGCCTCATTATTTGACATATGTATAAACATACAAAAGTTTGAAGTTTGGTTCAGGTCTAGAAGTTAGCAATCTCTTATCTCTTACACCAAAAAATCCTGGATCCGTCACTGTCTCGCATAATTCATAAGTGACCGAAGTTATAGTGTTTTAAAATTTCACAGATTTCAAAGAAAAAGGGTACTTTATATATGAAAATCGAAATTTTTTTCTTCGGTCTTAAATGACCGAAGTTACATTTAAAGACCGAAGTAACTTTGGTCTTAAATGACAGAAGTTTGGAATACTATATAAAACAAGAAATATCCTAAACAAGCACCCATTAACTAAACTATATCATTCATTTATCCATAACCACCTAAACTATGCAAATGTTTCGTGGGGCAGTACAAATAAAAGTAAACTTGAACCTCTATATCGTCAACAAAAACATGTTGTTGTTGTTTTTTTTTTTTTTTTTTTTTTGTTCTTTATTACATTATTTAATTTAAGTTTGTTTTTTACAAGCGATTTCAAAAACCGTCTTTGCATTACCTTGCTTTGGGACATATATAGGCAATTTACTTCCTCTCATAATTTTAATTTTATCTTTACCATTTTCTTTCATAATACCAACATTTATCGTTACATTCTTAATAGAACTTCTTTTTTCAGAATGTCATT